AATAAATAAAATTTAAAAAAATAAATAAAATTGATTTTCAAAAAGTTGTGAAAATCTTTAAAGATATTGGGAAACATAAAAGCTAAAAATGGCACAATGCTTATATGTTCAATTTAACAAGTAATTATAAATCAAATAGCCAGTAAACTGAAGGAATACATTTACTGCTAAAGGGATGTGCCAGAAGCCTGGGAGCCTGCATGGCCTTCCTGATCGTAATGCCCCTTCCCTTCCCTCCAGGGGAGCCCCCCACCTGGCTTTGTGATGATTATTTATTTGCTTTTTAAAATTTTTTCCATCTGTATGTATTTCCCTAAATACCATATTTTATGTGGCCTCCTTTAAAATAATATTTCACGAAACCATGTTGCATATATTCATTCAGGTCTTGCTCTTTTGGCTCCCTATTATTTATAAGGTCCATCAGGGTTGTTGTGTGCCGTTGATAGTTGTTTCATTGCTTGAGGCCAGGGAGATAGAAGCCGCTATAAGTACATGCTCATGAGGATGGGGCCTGCTGCGTAATCTAGAGCTTGGGGTGCTTTCTCTGAGCCTCAGTGGAGAGGATGATGGAGTGGGAGGTTTGGGTGAGAAATGGCTCCTTTGGAACTGATGACGGGAAGGAGTCAGCTCAAATGTACTGCAAACACGGAGTAGGGAGAGGCCTCACCTTGTAGGGTCTCTAGTGGCCAAATCTCTTGGCATGTGACCCTCCAGATGCCTCTGGGGTTTGATGCAGGGCACTTCTGGGGAGCCATCGTCAGGACAGATGGAGGATGTGGGGTGGGGGCCATGGATGGGGTGGGCAGTGGGGGATGGCGAGACTGCAGAGGTAGAACTTCCTGTCGGAGAGCTCAGCTCTCACGATGAGGGCTGGCGGGGAAGGTGGCAGCCACAGCTCTGCACGGGACAGGAGCATCTTTCTGTTTCCATCTGGTGTGTGGGGGTGTGTGGGTTCCTGGGGGAGGGGAGGGCTCTCTGTGGCTGGCTTTGGCAAGCTGCTTCCTCTGCCCCCTGTGACTTTGCACTGCCCACTCACTTGAGTACGCTCTGTTCTCAGCCCCTAGATCTCTGTAACCCTGCCCGGACTCTCCTGTTGTCAGAGGAGCTGCTGTTGTACGAGGGGAGGAACAAGGCTGCCCAGGTGAGACCCATGAGCGCTGCCGGTGGGCTTTCCTCCTTGGCCATCCTCTGGGCCTCCACTTTTCTCTCCTCCTCATGACCAGGGCACACTTCCAGGATGGGGGAGACCTGAAGACTCTTCCACCGCCCCCCAACACATGGAGACCTAGCTCTTTCTTGTCTACCTCCAGTGATAGGAGACTCCCCTCTTCACAAAGCTGTTTTGTTCCTTTTGACATTTATGTTATTCCCCCAGCCCACAAAGATATTCTGTTGTTTGTCCCAACTTTTTCTAAGGAGAAGAAAAGATGGCATTTCACTTTGGTTGGGGTGTGTGACTCTGTGAGTGAGAAAATTAAAGCTGCTAGCCATGGAGAATTTTTAGAGGTGTGTCAGTTCCCTGAATGTTCTGAGTCTGTATTAACCCAAATTCCAGATCCTCTCCTAAGAGAGCTGAGATTTCCCCTGGCCTCTAGCTGAGCGGGCAGGTGTCATCTGGGGGTCATGTCACTCTTTCTGGGAGCCAGGAACACTTTATTCACTGACTCATCCCCCCCCCCAGCTGACCAGGTCCAGGCTCAGTTCCTCAGGCCTGGACAACAGTCCCTGGCTGTGTGACTGTGGACAGGTAATTCAACCTTTCTGCACCATAAGATCGTCTGTAGAAAGCAATGACATTATTCATATGGAAGTCCACACAGCAGAAAGTCCATGCTCTGAAAGTAGAGGCCTCTCTTAGGTGGCTGAACTGAGACACAGCTGTCTTGGTCCCCAGGGACATAGAAGTGGAGCTTTGCAAGCTGGCCTGGCCACCTGGCATCCTGGGGTGAGGGCAGAGGGCTTGGTACAGAGCAGGTCCTGAGGGAGGACCGGCTCCGTTAGATCTGAGTCTAGCACTGGCAGAGAATGTGGAGGCTGCAGCCCACACCCGGCTCCAGCAGTGCTTTGGACTCACGATGCTTTTCCCTTCTTCCTGAGCTTTCCCTGTGTGTGTAAAGCTGCAGGAGCCGGCTCTGAGAGTCTTGGGCCTAGGGCACCAAGTGTGACTAGCTGAAGCAGGACGTCGGCTTTGTTTCATTCTTTAACAAGCGGCTCAGAATTGTTAAGCTCCACACGAGCACTGTCTTTTCCAAGAGCGCTGTCTGGTGAGACTGGGAGCTGATTTCTACCACACTGGTATCACTGAGGTCATTCTGGGCCTCCCCTTTAGTAATGTTCTTGAGAATCGCAGCAGGGCTTTGGAGTTGCCTCGGAGGAGGAAAACATCATCTGGCCACGGGGACTTAGGTTTGAGGAGTAAGAGGTCACTGGCAACTGTGTTTGGCAAATAGAAGTGTGGCGGGGCTGAGTCGAGGTGCAGGGTCAGGAGGTGCCATGTGACTGGACACTGTGGACCCAGAAAGCAGCACTTTGGAGGGACAGCCATCCTGAAATACACACGTTTGTCTTAACTCACTCTTAAAATTCGCTCACCATGAAACCCACAAATGTTGTCCTTGCATCTTGCGCCAGTCCCAGTTATCTCTGTGGCACCCCATGAGACAGGAGGATACTGACGTTCCCATGGAATTAACTGGGCCTTCCAGGCTGGTAAGAAACAGAACCCGGATTAGCACTCAGCTCTCTGGCTCTAGTCCTGGCTCAGCAATGTTTTCCCTGACCCCATGCTGCCTTTGGTATGTTTAAAAACAAACCAAGAAACACGAGCCAAGCCATAGCCATAGTTATAATTCATCTAAAATATCTTTGCCTCATGGATCTTGGGAACCTTAGAACCTAGAAACACCCCCCTCTCAAAATTGAAGGAAGTGATCTGAAGCGAAATAAATATATTCTTTTCTTGCAGGGGCGGTATTGGGAATCGAACTCAGGACCTTATGCTTCGTCAGACATCTTTTTTCTTGCAATAAATACAATAGCAACCAAAAAGGAGGACTTAGGTACCCTTTCATTTTATGCAAGCTAAAAATAGGGCCAACCCAGAGGGACTTGGGTTACTTCCTACAGCCCCAGGACTGGTAGGGCCCTCAGCGACCATCCATTCTAATTGTTTCCCTGCAGCCTTTCAGCTGCTGGTTTTCCTGAAGGCAGGCCCACTGGTGGGCAGGCAGGCATCCCCTTCCCGCTGGGGCCCGCCCTCCCCATCCCTTGTCTGTCTCTTCTCTGGGCTCACTCAGGTTTGCAGATGGGTAGGAGCCAATCCTGGCTCATGCCATGGACTGCCCTCATCACACCCCCTCCCTAGCAGTGAGAATACTGCTTGCCTTTTGGAGTGGTCCCACTTATCCATTGAACAGTGTTTGCGGACATGTCTAGGATGTAGCAGGGCCCATTGCTAGGTTCCTGGAATACTACAAAGGGAAAGGCAGACACACCCTTGCTTTACATACTGACTCACTGAGTTTACCATTAACTAAGGAACAGAGGTCTTTTCTGAATACCCTGACCTGAGGCCAACTTCCCGGGAGAAGGCCTGGAGAGAGCCACTTGAGAGTCGCCCTCCTTAGAAGAGGTTGTACAGGTTCCCCAGCTAGGGGCCCCCTCAACTCTTGCCCCTTTGGGAGAGCAGATGTGTCCTCTGTGCAGGCATGGGGAAGACACCCGGAGGCCCCTGTGGCTGGTGGTGGAAAGCAGCAGGTAATTGGATTGCAGAGATAGGGTCACCAGGATGTCGATGAGATGGAGAGGGTCTGCGTGTCCTTCTCCAGCACTCCTGTCCTCTGTCCTGTGTCCAGCTGTGTGCCAGTACTGTCCTTTCCCTGACCTGACCTTTGGGGAAATTTTTCATTCATGCCTTAATCACTTCCTGTCTAGACCATATTCTCAGCTCTAGGAATCCAGGCTGGGGCATTGGCCTGGGGCTTTTCTCACCTTGCTGTGGCTCCTCCCTCTTTCTCTCCACCCAGTTCTGTGCCTGGGCCATTTCTCAACTTTCTAGGCTCCTGACAGTATCTCCTTTGATACTTGCTCTGTGAGCTTCCCCATGGGTCCAGAACCCACAGCTAGACTTTGTTTGCTTTGCAGACATGTTTTATGGGAGCAGAGGGTTTTGCCTAGTGTCTGCAGCTAACTAGAGCCTTATTTTCTTTGTTTAGACTCTGCAGTCCTCTCCCCAGGTAGCCAACCCCTTGACTCCTTCTGAACTTTGGATCATTTTCTTTCCTCCCTTAACTTTATTATTCTCATTTGTCTCCTTTGCTAGATCCTTTCGTATTCAGGGACAGAGCAGCTGCAGGCATATTGCTACTACAGTGCTGTGTATAGTGAGAGCTCTATGATCTGTCAAACCCGCGTAACCATCCCTGGTTGTGTGGCTGTGGATAGGGAACTTAACCTCTTGGATCCGTAACAGTCACATTTGTAAAAGCCAATTATGTTATTGGCATAACATGCTTATGATGTAAAAGATTTACAGAGAATTAAGTGTTCAACAGGTAGATGTTTCTCTTGGGCTACTGTAAGAGACAGCAGTGCTGGAAAGGCGGTGAGGTATGTCACTATTAGGCACCCCTCCAGCACAAGGTCCTGGAGTCTCTGTGATTGGGCCCCATGGGAGGGGACAGAGCTTTGAGCCTCTCTGCTCAGGAACCTACTCCCTGCTGTCTCTGCTTCTATATTACTGGGACACTCAAGATGCCACATGGAGCTTTGGATGATTTCTTATATATTTTTAAACTACAAAAGTAACAGTCTCATTGAAAAATAATGCAAATTAAACAAATGTATAAAAATCCCACCTCCCAGTATAAGGAGAACAGTACCTACTTAGGCATCATTTAAAAAATATAAAAATAGGGCTGGCTCAGTGGACTAAAGCGCCTGCTTAGGCAGAGTGCAGTGGCCAGGGTTTGAGGCACCATGTGCTGTGCTGGCCCCGCCCCTGGGGTGCACTGAGACAGACGGCTATTGAGACTGGGTGTGGTGTGCATCTGTAATCCCAGCACTTGGGAGGCTGAAAACAGGAGACTCACTACGAGTTCTATCTACATACATATATAGTGAGAGCAAGCTGTAGTTTTGTTTTTCAAAATTATATTACACCCCTGGTTTTTTTTTTTTGTGCATAGCACACTATTTCAACTTCTGATATGCACATTTCTGTCTCCCCATGCAGCTCTACTTCATTCTTTTAATAGTTGCACAAAATCCTGCCATGTGGCAGGAATGTCATTTATTTTATCCATCCTCTCTTGATGGCTTTTTAGGTTATTTTTCCTTTGCTGAATTATAAGGATGCTGCTAACTTCCTTATATGTCCACATTTACACAGCCTTGCAAATATTATTTTTGGGGAAGAGTTTCAGAAGTGATGCTGTAGGGTCATCTTTACCAGTTTGAGAACTAAAAGATAACATGTTGGCTTTCGAAAGGTCAGTGGCTATTTGACACACACTCACGGTGCCCAGAGTCTATACCAAGCCCTTCTGCTAGATTTTTCTAGCTTCAGAAATACCAAATTTTGACACCTCGGAGGGAAGTTCTCATAAATAGTCATCTTTTGTGGGTTTTTTTTTTTTTTGGGCAGGGGGGGAGGATCTAAAATTGGATTTTACTGCTTTTAACTAAAGGCCACTGCAGAATTTATAAAACAAAGAACAGTATAAACTTCAGTAGAAGTAGAGGATCAAGTGGATTTTTTTTTTAGCATAAAAATATGCTATGCGTGCCTGTTGGTTTACCTATAATGTCTAGAAATAGCTTTTTGCTTTGTTTTTGGAGCAACTGGTACACGAAGGAGATAAAAGTTATGTACAAGTCTGTAGTGAAATATAAGCAACTGGCTTTTTCTTGGACTGATTTCTCATGAATGCAGTTAAAGTTATCTACAAGAAGGTTGTTCATATTACATCACACTGCATGATGCCAAGGAGCTGGGCAAGGGGCTGGAGACCCCCGGGCACTGCAGGGCCAGCCCAGGACAGCTGGGGACACCAGGCTGTGGAGAGGACCCTGCAGATGCCCTCCTTGGAGGCCAAGGGCTGTCTTTCCTTCTCCTTCTTTTTTTTTTTTTCTCTCCTACTTCGAGGAAGGCAGAAAGGTGCTTTTTATTGGCTGGGCCACCCTTGGAGTCGCTCCTGGTTGCGCCCGAGATGACAAGGATGCATTACCCAGACCTCCAGGGGAGGTTGTGGCTCTGTGTCCAGGGGACAACGGAGTAGCCAGGCTATTTGCTCTCTTCCGTTCAGGTGACACTGTTTGCTTACTCGGATCTGCTGCTCTTCACCAAGGAAGACGAGCCTGGGCGCTGCAACGTTCTGAGGAACCCCCTGTATCTCCAGAGTGTCAAGCTGCAGGAAGGTAGGAAGTGCCAGGGGTGCCTGATGTGTGCTGTGGGCTCTGTCCCTGGACTGGCAAGATCTACTCTCGGAGGGCAAGCCTGCAGCCATACTTGTACCTTGAGATTTTCTGGGAGGGTTCTGTTCTAAACACTTTCCAGGGAAGCTGTGGAGTGGGTGGAAAGAGCTTTGGACTCAGACCTGTGCAACTTTGGGCAAGATGCTATATTTCTCTGAGCCAGTTTTCTCCTCATGTGTCAACTGGGATAATAATGGTACCTCTGAAGGTTGTTGGGATAAATTAGGTCATTTATGCGAAGAGGTCTGCCTGTGACCAGCGCCTAAGAAGTGGTTACTGCTAACCTGCCCTGACAAATGTGTGGCAGAGACCGCTGCCCCTTTTCAGCTGGCCACACGGCTCTGTCGAGTGCCCAAGGGAGCTGGGGTGCGCGTGGCTGGGTCTGTTCAGCAAAGTGTGCAGGAGCCTGAAGAATTTCTAACCCAAAACTTTCCATGGTGCTCTGCTCCTGGGACTGGGAAGCCAGCTGGGAGTATCTATCCAGCGGTTTGGTTTGGCGCCTGAGGTCTCCGCTGAGAGGGGCTCAATTTCCTCTCCCAGATTATGAAAACAACAACAGACCTGTTTGAGCTTGGGCAACAGGGGCCGGGAGGAAAATATTACCCCATGAAAGAATTCTGTTTTGGCGGTTTTCATTCCAGGCAAGCTTCCTGAATGCTCGCGGAGCCATCCTGTGCACCCGCTGCCCTGGCTGGTCTTCCTCCTCGGAAGCTAGGTCTTGTGGGAACCTTCACTGTCGCCTCTCCGTGGGAAGTCACTCACCACTCTCCCTCTCTGGCTCTGACTCTCTTTTGCGTGGCCACAGCCCTTCCTTGTGGCTGGGCAGCTCAGCCTGAGCAGGATGGAGGGGGTGGAAGACAGCACCTGTGAGCCGCTTGGGCACACAGGCCCCTGCGGGCTTGGAAGCTCCTTAGTGCTTGCTGCCTTCCAGCTGGTGGCCTCTGGCCCTGGCCTCCTGGCTCCTCCGGCTCCTCCCGCTCCCTTGAGGCCAGCTCCCTTAGGCTCTGAGTGCTCACAACGGTGCACTTTCCACATAGTCCCTCCTTCTTCCCTCCCCCATCCCACCTGTTCCCAGCCCAGACAATGTAAGACCCACCCAGTCACATCTGGGGAGCGCTGTACCCTGTAGGCCTGGGGCCACAAGCCTGGGACTCTTATTTGATCAACTTCCTGCTATAGGGAGGAGGGAAAAAAAAGGAGGCTCCAATTAGCTGCAACTGTTTATTTACTTTTTGTCCTGTCTTTTGGAGACAGGGTTTCACTGTGCAGTTCAGGCTGGCCTTGAACTCACTTTGCAACCCAGGCTGGCCTCAAAGTTGCATCATTCCTCTTGTCTCAGCCTCCTGAGAACTGGGGTTACAGGTATGCGCCACCACCTGCCCAGCTCAACTAGCTGCATTTGGGCAGAGGCTGGAGTGGGGGTGGGTGGGAAAGAAGGCAGTTGAATCACTGAGGGAAGTAGCTGGGGATTTGCTGCTAGTGTCATGTGTGACCTCAGCTGGTCTTTTCCTGTTCTGGATTCATTGCTGTAACTGTGAAGTAAGGGTTGGGGAAGGCTTTGGTGTTCCCTCCCAGCTCTGCTGGCTCACACAACCCTTATGGTGGCTGGGAGGAGCCAATGCGGTGCTGCTCTGCTTCAGTCTGCCCAGGGCCTGGACTGGGCTTCCCCTCCTGGAGATCCCTAACCCAAGAATGGCCATTAAAGGCAGCAGTGCTCCATGCCCCAGTGGGTGGTAATGGCCCAGGTGAGCCTCCCGTGTTGCCCTTGCCCAGGCATGATGGCCTTAGGCTGAGACCATGCCTGCCGGTGGATGGTGGGCCACCTACACGAGGTCTGAGGGTGGTGCAGGCTGCCCACCTCCAGAGAGATGACCAGGGACCTTAGAGCCTGTTAGCTTGGTGTGGGAGAGGGAGTGCTAGATTCATGGGGCAGATGGTTTAGAGGAGACCTTGGGCATGAGATGGTTTGGGGGAGCCTCTGGGAAGCCTCAGAGCTGCTCAGAGCAAAGGAGATTGTTCAATGACATGGAGTCTTCCGGGTGCACATTCTGGGGGCATGGGCATGCACACCTGTCATTCAGCACTAGGGAGGCTGAGGCAGGAGAATGGCCTCGAGTTCAAGGCCAACATTGTCTCCATAGTGAGTTCAAGACTGCCTGAGTTACATAGGAGACCTTATCTTAAAAAACAAACACAGCAGCAGCAGCAACACACATATATGTATTTTAAGCGATTGTAGGAAAAGATGTACATTCCAATGCTTAGTTTATTTTGGGAAAGCCACGGAGCCCTTGTGCCTCTGTCTTCCACTATCCCTACATCCCAGGGGCAGGTCCAGAGGTTCCCTGAAGTCCAGTGTCCCCTTCTGCCACAGGCAGGGCGGAGCCTCAGGACCCGGTGTTCCTAGTCCTGGCACCCGATTTCCTGCTCTCCTCCCCAGTGCCCCAGGAGACTCAGAGCTGCCGCAAGGGCTGGAGTGAGGCTTTTAAGACATGAATTTGGGGCCTTGGAGAAAGCCTCCGGTGCCAGAGTGGTCTCTGATTAACATTGCTTACAACATGAAACTCCTGGGTTTTTTGTTTGTCTCTTTCAAATCCACACGTATGCAGAGTTCATTTTGGAACAAAGAAGACAGTAAACAAGAAACTGTTGCACCTTTCCTGTGTGCTGGGGAGAATCCATCCCACCCTAGGGACCAAGGACTCCCCTGGCACACGTCCGAGTAGCCCTTAGCTCTGCGGGTCAGCTGCACTCCCAGGGCCTAGTATGGGCATGGAACATAGTGGCAGCCCAACAAATGTTTGTTGGGTGAATCAATGAATGACTAAAAGGAGAGAGACCAGAAGCACTGTCTCAGCTTGGGAGCTGGGGGTGCCTCCTCCTCCAGGCCCCCGGCTGGTGGCCGCTGCAGTCCTGCCTGCCTTCTGTCCGGCTTCCCCAAGGCCCAGCAGGACCCGATGGCAGTGTAAGGGGAACAGGAGGAGAGCTGGTGCTCACCATCAGGATGTCTCTGGTCAGATGGGGCCCCTGGCTTTGCTCTTCATTGTGTCTCTGCCTCCCCGACAGCCAGCATCATGCCCACAGTGTGTTGTCCTGGCCCACCCTAGCTCCCAGATGTGGCCTGGAAATGTCCAGGTGGCTCATGAATTCTCTGGCTGCCTTAGGGGCCCAGGTTCACATTTCAGAAACTCCAGCTGCTGGAGTAGTTGGATTAATCTTAGTTGACATTTTCTGAGCCTGGAAATGGTTGAGGGCCGGCCAAATAGCTCTGCAGATTAAAGTGCCTGCAGGCAGGCACAGGCTGGGGGGTTCAATCCTCAGGCCTGCCTTGCCGGCCCCGCCCCCAAGGGTGCGCTGAGATGGGCCTGGGTGTGGTGGTGCACGCCTGTAATCCCAGCACTTGGGAGGCTGTAAATAGGAGAATCACTATGAGTCAGATCTAGTAGTGAGACCCTGAACATTCTGTAGACCTTTCCCTAAAATACAGAAAATAAGTAAATAGTTGAGTTGGGATCTTAGATCAGGCCTGAAAGGACTCTGGGAAAATGACAAGAGGGTCAGACCTGGGCCAGAAAGCCCAGAGGCTCTGGGAGCCCATGGGTGGAGACACCCCCTGGGTCATATGGTCTTTGCATTTCTTGGTGGAAAGCAAGGCCTGCTCCCGAGCCAGCAATTCTCTGTTGCATTTCAAAATGGTGCAGGGAGAGTATCTCGAGTGTGTGGCCTCAGTGTCCCTTCTCTGTGCCAGCCCCAGTCCTGATGTTCCCGGAAGGCTGAGGCTCTCTCCTGGGCCAGCTCCTTGGCTGTTTACTTTTTTTGCAGCGGCAGTAGCTCCTCCCTGGCACCCCGGCCCCTTGCTTGTTTTTCTTTTATGAGACTCTGAATCATGCTGAGCACTGCCCCTGTTCCATCCTTCTGTCACAGGGCTGCCAGCAAGGGGCTATGATGTGGAGCAGATTCCAGTGAAAGTTTGGAGCACTGCAGGGATGTCAGTGCAGGCGGGGGGTGGTGTCACAGCACAGAGCAGTTGTCAAGGCCATCCACCAGTCATCCCTGGCCACAGGGACGGTTTGAAGGCATGTTCCCCCACCTCTCAGCTCCTGTCTCCCTGAAGCACTCAAGTCCTGGGCTTGTCTTCATTTCTAGAACCTTCTCTTTCCTCATGGCTAGCTTGCCAAACCCAAATTTCAATCATTTTCTAACACAGGTGTACTTTACTGGAAATAATCTAGTATATTTTCTTAAACAAAAAAGAACACTTCCTCTCATCTCTACTGTCGGCAACACAAGGAACTAAAAGAAGCTTTGAGATTTCACTTTCTTCTCTTTCTCTTCAGCTGTGTCTATGTGAACGTTGACGTTGGTCTCTCTGTCTGTCTGTCTGTCTGTCTGTCTGTCTCTCCCTCTCTGCATGAATGAACCGAGAGCCTGTGCACTGAGCTGCATCCTTGCCCTCCATCCCATTTTTGAGACAGGATCTTGCCAAATCTGTTCAGTTGCCCCAGCTGTGCTTGAACTTGCCATCTTCTGACCTCAGCCTCCCAGAGCACTGGGATTTTAGGTGTGCACCACTATACCCAGTTTACAGGATTCATAAACATTATGGTTTTCTTAGGCAGGGAGCCCTCTCTCCCTAACCCACTTCCAGATGGAGAGAAGCAAAAGATTTATTCTGAGACTAAAGTGGATCCCCATTTACTCTGGGGCTATTTTATCTGGCTCTTCCAGAAAGCCCCTGGCTTTAGAGAGATATTGGCCCATCTGGGAACTGCCCATGATATGTCCAGGGGTCTGGCCTTCACCTACCTCACTCCGTGCTCCACTTTCTGCTTTACTTAGTTAGGACTGGTAGGGCCCATGGTGTCTAGTCGCCTTCTGCCTACTCTTGGTGATGGATTTTTGCCTTGTTTGACAATGTCCTTGCTTCAAGTCTACTTTGAAGCTTGCAGGTGAGAGGTGGCCCTGGAGCCGGGCTCTTCCCTTTCCTCCCTGGGGTGAGTTACTTCACCTGTCTATGTCTCTGTTGTTTGCACATGAGCCATGGATGCCACCACTCTGCCCCATGGAGCTGCTGAAGGACTGTGGCCAGCACTGTGTTATGGAGCCAAACGCCCCAGCCCTTTAGCTTACACATGGAAAGCATTGGAGTGGCAGCTGGCAAGCAGCATAAAGCTCTGTGGCCCTGGTGCTGTTGCATGTGTTCAAAATAACAGTCTGTGTGGTGAGGCCAATTGCTCGCAGCACAAGGAGTTTCCTACCACCCCAGGCATGTGTCCAGATGAACGCCCCAGTGGGGAGTGTCGCTGGAGCCGGCAGAGTGGCTGCAGGGGTCAGGGCCAGTGTCTCAGAGGAGGCATAGCTGGCATTTCTCTCTCTGCTCATGCCATTCCCACCTCCTGGGAAGCCCTTTCTGCCCCTCCTAAGTTTTAGTGCTTAAAGGTCCTTCTCCAGAAATCCCTCCCCAACTGCTGTGGGTCATCTCTTGCCTGCCTACCTTGCTTCTCCCTGAGCCCCTCTTTGAGGGTAGAGGGGGTGCCCTCAGTCCCTCCCAGTTCTCCCCAGATGCAGAGGGCTTGGTCAAGGGGTGAGCCTAAAGGAGGCTTGTCCTGGCTCGGGAAACCATCTCTTAGCTCCACTCAGCCCACTTGTGGGGCTTACACTCCTTGGTTCATGCTCTCTGAAGTGGCTCACCATACTGCCCTAGCATCAGATGACGCCCTGCCATGTTTCAAAATGGTGAAGGCAGTTGAAATAGTGGAGAAAGCCCAGATGGATGCTGACTCTTGCCCCTTATGGCAGGAGGAGGTATCATGGGAAGGAGGAGACTTTCTGGGTGGGTGATGGCTTCCTACCCCTGGCGCGTTGGTATTCTTCAGGACCTCTCCTGGGAATGCGATGCCAGCCTTCTCTGGCTACCCATCACCCGGTTAGTGAACCGAGCAGCTTTGCCCCAGAGACCACCCCGTTCCCCGTGTCTGCCTCTTTCTCTTTTTCCAGGAAGCACCACACACAGCTTCCTGGGTGAGATAGCTGGCTGTGCCCCAGCAAACCGCTGAGCCTCTTCAGCCAGTTCTAATGCAAGTCTCATTTTTTTGTTCCCTCCAAGGTTCTTCTGGAGACTTGAAATTCTGCTTGCTGTATCTAGCAGAGGTGAGTCCGCCTTTCTGAATTCCGTTCTGTGACCTGGTGCTTGAGGGAAGGCCTGGGGCGTGGAGGCTGATTGGGAGATTCTGGTGTTGGGCTCCACACAGCTCTGCAGGGGTCCAGGGCAAATCCCCAGCCATCCCTGACCCAGTCTTACCTGTGAGTGAAAGGGCAGTGGTGAGATGGTCTTGGGGTAACCCCTCCTGAGCTTGGGCACCTGTGGGTCTCATAACAAGGGCGTGGCTGGTCCATTTGTTTATTTAATAGCCTTTCTCTGGGGGCTGCCCTGACTCCTACACCTGCTTCTTTGGTCTTCTTATTTCCTCCCCTGGAGGTACCATGTACAATCTCTCCTCTAGGGTCTTGTTGGTGTTCCCAGAAGCTCGATGGTAATTGGTCCTTTACCTGGGCCAGGTAGTACAGGCTAAAGCGGATGTTAGTGTCTGTGTTTGGGGCTGGGTGCCCTCACCCTTGTGATCGATGCGCTTGGTTGTCTCTGTCTGCTCAGAGCGTAGTTGGGCAGTGCTCTGGCTTGGAGAAGCAAAGTTGGGCAAATGACTCATTGCTTGATATGGTTTGGTAGATAAAAGCTTAGCCAAAGAGGCCATTGGTAATGAAACATTTGAGAGCCACTGAACCATACAAAATCTTTTCAACCTTCAGGGAATTTTAAATTCCCTACCCTGTGTCTGCTACTATAATATGTGGGTAGGGTGGTGACTATTCAAAGCGAAGTTTATTAGACCTATTCCTGCCATTTGGCTCTGCTTAAATTTGCCTAATGGTATTGGGAATATTGTTACACTGGTGGGAGAGTGTCCTGGGGCCATAATCTAGGGATGGGGCATGGCCAAGAATTTTTATTTTATTATTATTTTTGTTTTGGTTTTTTTGAGACAGGGTCTCACTCTAAAATCGAGGCTGGACTTGAACTCACTATGTAGCCCAGTCAGGCCTTGAATTCATGGCACGATTTTTCTGCCTAAGCCTCCTGAATGCTGGGATTATAGATGTGTCCCATAAATTTTATCATATTTTTCTTGAGACAGGGTCTTGCTATATAATTCAGGCTGGACTTGAATTCACTTTGTAGCTTGGGTTAGCTTCCCTCTTGTTTTCCTGCCTTGGCCTCCCCAGTGCTGTGATTACAGCCACATACCATCACGCCCAATAATGTAGCCTTCTGAAAAGGATTTAATGCTTATCTATTGTGATGTACACCCTAGTCCCAGCTACTTGATAGGCTGAGGCAGGAAGATCACTAGTTTGAGACTAGCCTAGGCAATTGAGCAAGAGCTTTTTTTTTTTTTTAAAAGCCCAGTGTTGGGATACATGCCTATAATCCCAGAACTCTAGGAGGCTGAGGCAAGAGAATTACAGAACTGAGCCCAGCCTGGGCCATTTAGTAAATTAACAAGATTGTCAAGAGAGAGAAAAAAAAAAAAAAAAAGATCATGGATGTAGTCCAGGGCAAAGGCGAAGGACTCAATCCCTAATGAGTGAGGTGGGGGGGGGGGAAGCATTCCTTCAGTTTTCAGTTCTTGGCAAAGACTAGGGCCCCAGGCCTGGTGTGAGTGAACAGAGTCTTGCTGAGAAGATCCCTTCAGGGAAGCAGAGGGTTCCAAAGATGTAGTGGATGTTGTCAGGGAAGAGCTGGGGACTCAACTACCTGGAATGCAGAGGGCACTGGATGTCCTTCCTGTGCCAGCCGGATCCCCACTGGGGCACAGGGAGGGACTGGGGGAGTCACTTCATGATGGAGGCATCTGGCTCAGTTGGGAGAAGCTGTGAGCCGGGCTGGGGAACTCTGGAGCTATCACCCTGGAGTCCAGGTCTCTGCTCAGCCCCTGAAATGAGGTACCCACTTCTTTAATGCCAAGAGAGCTTTCTGCCAGGCTGAGTTTATTTTTCCCAGAAAAAAGCACTTCTGTTCCATTGGATCTGTGACCTCCTGGCTGTCCGAAGATTGATGAAGGGATATTGATTGGAGCCTCTTATTTCAGTAAAGTGCTAGGTGATCTGACCCTGAAGGGCTGGGAGGCTGAAACTCACAGGCAGCCGGAAGCCTTTCTCTTCTCCTAATGGGCTGCTGTTTATGAGAAGCAGGGAAGATCAGCTGCCGGCTTGCTCTGGAGCGTGGAGAACTTTGATGCAGGTGGACTTGGACCCCGTGGAGTGCCTCAATGCACATCTTGGTTAGAACTTCTGACAGGTGGATTCTTTCCATTGCGTGATGTGCAGTGACACTCTCAAGGAGAAACCAGTGAAAAGAGTTGGGGTTTGCATTTGCACTTTGTATTGAGAAGGTTCAGTTGCCTAGTTGATAGCAGCTCTAATTATTCCTAGCTGCCAGGTCCTTGGCTCTGGGTCCCTAATCCCCTGGACAGGTGTCTCTCAGCCCTTCCAAATCATGTGACAGATACAGCCTGGGACTGGCTTTTGAGCGCTTAGGGCATGGGGGTCAATGGATACATTGGTTAGACAATGGACTCATGTGGTCATTCTGTCACCTAGAATCTGATGCTGGCTCCATTTATTTAAGAGTCTGGCTTTGGAGTTAGGAAGAGCTAGGCTCGAACCTTGGCTCTGCCCTTTCCTGAGTGATCTAGGGGCAAAGTACATTCTCTTCTCTCACACAAGGCAATGAAGCTGACTGTGCATGGTTGTTGTAGTGATTAAGTGAGATTCAACAAGACACTGCCTCCAGGCACTTAACACAGACCCGGCATGCAGTGCACAGCGAATGGCAGCTGTTATTACTGCCAACTTCACGGCAGGAAGAAGGGCTTTTTGTATTCATCTACAGTCCATTAGAGGCAGCCACAAATGATTTATTGATCTTTTTAAAAAAGTGGGGAGGAATATCTCACCTTCTTTGTAATGCATGCACCCAGTTACACAAACATGGCAAGAGCGCAGGCCCTGGAATGGGCAGAAGACACCTGTGGAGCTCTGTGTGACTTCACCCCACTTAGTTTGGTGATCTGCAGAAAGGTGACTAGCCATCTTTCCTTCCCACCCATGTCATGGCATCACCAGGAGAACCGAATTGAATGAGTGTGTGCTTGTCACAGTGCACGAGCACGCTACGGTCAGAGCTGAAGGGCTTTATAAAGCTAGAACTAATTCAGGAGCGAGGAGGTGAGGCACCATGGAGCTTGTAGAGAGGCCAAGAGGAGCTCAGTGTCCATTGAGTGCTTGTGCAGCTGAGGTATCTTTACACAGCAGGCCACCCAGAGTTAGAAGGTGTGACCTTTGTGGGTCTTCAAGACCATGTCTTCAGGGCCACATTGACTAGGAAGCCTGATAGTAAGGTCAAAGTCCACGCTAGTGTTCAAATCAGCAAGATGGATTGAGAGAAGTGGTTCCCATTTGGGGGATACCAGGGAAGCAGTGCCCCCCAACACCAATTTGGACAGATTCAGGGGGATAGAAATCAGCCTGTCTTCAGGGAGCTGGCTCAGTGCCCATTCACTCTTGGCCAGGCCAGTGCCAAAGCTCCGGTTCCTAAACATGATTGTCCATCTATGACATACAGCTGCTTACCTGGGGCCAGGCCTGGATTTAAGTCCTTTGGCCTAGAAGCCTTCGGGGTCTTTTAGCATCCTAGAAGCTCTAAGCCTTCAGAGCCAGAGATCCAGTCCTGTAGTCTTCTATGGAGATAGGCAATGTGGTTTGCATCCCTGAGGGGAAAATGTGGCCTCCGAGGGAAGTGTTGACTTCGGTGTCTTTAGAATCTCATCTAACTAGTACAAATGGGTTGGCTGCCACTCCAGGCAGAGCAACATGGCTGACCAAAGGTGTGATTCTTGTGGGTGTGAGCAAAGCAGAATGGTGACAGCTGCTACTTTAAAGGTTGTTGGAAGAAGCACCAGGGCACCGTTGGTAAAGTGCCTCGTGCTGTGAGGGCCATTGATTGCCGGGTTTTGTCTCAGGATTAGGAGCATGTAGCCAGGTTGCTATGAAAACATCCTTGGGAAGGTATCCTTGCTTCTCACACTTTTGTAGGGAGGGGACTGTCACTGGGAACATGGAGTTGTACAAAAAGCGCCAATGACCTCTGAGCTGCTTAGAGGTCAAAAGGGTCTAAGATTTCTTCTGATGGCTTGTTGTTCTGGTGGCCTCCAGGCCCTGTCCTGTCAGTCAAGTGTGAAGCCACCCCAGGAAGCCTTCCTAGGTTTTGGAGATCAAATCTCAGCAAGCAGTTTTTTAAGGTTTGGAGTCTTCCCTCTGGGTGTACTGGCCCCGAGACTCAGGGAAATCTTTAGCCACTCTAAGCCTAGATTTTCCTCTTGTATAAAATAGGAATAACAATCCATGCCCTCCCTGCCTGTTCAAGGAATTATCAAGATTAAAATGAGATCATGGGTGGAAAAGTGCTTCTAAAAATTGATAATTAGATAAAAAGAATTATTATTAAGGTAGAATTCCTGCTTCAAAGCAAAAGAAAACACTGAGGCTGAGTGAGATCGAAGGCTTTGCTGCAGCCTGCAGGGTTGACCGGAGGCATTACTGGGAGACTCAGGCAGTTCCAGTGGCTGAAGTGAGTGCCTTTCCAAACCGGAAGGGAGCCCAGTCCCCACCTACACTTCCTTTTACTGGGGCTGCATGAAACAGGAAGCAGAGGATTTTCCCTGGGGAATCTTGGGATCTTTTGTTAGGTGGGTACTGCACCTTCCTGCAGTAAGTGGAAAGGTTCTGGAATCAGGGAGTCTTCAGTGGATGAGGCAGGATGGAGCCTGTGGCAGGCAGGGTTTTCTTCCCCTCTTCCCATGCTTTTAGAAAGATGAGCTTGTGAGTACTTTTCCCACAGGAGAGGGTGGCACCCAGGGAGCACAACATGTGAGGCAGCCCCACTTGACACTCCTGAGGGCTGGGCTGGTGCAGGGTAGAAAAAGTTCCCAAATGTGCTATTAGATGCTGTCAAGAACTTCGCAGCGCAGGTGTTTGTGGTTGCTATTCTTTCTGCAGAGAAACAACTCCCAAGCGCACACGCTCGCTCGCTCTCTCATGCTCTCTCTGTCTCTCTGTCTCTCCAGCCTTGTCCCCCCCCCCCCCAACCAGAGATTGAACTCAGGCTCTTGCTCTTGCCAGGGAAGCGCTTATTTCACTGAGCTATCTCCCCACGCCCCCTCCCCAGCCTTTTTAATTTCATTTTGAGACAGGGTCTCTCTAAGTTGCTCAGGCTGGCCTGGGTTTTTCCATCTTCCTGCCTGAACAGTCTGAGCGGTTGGGACCAGAGCTATGCACTACCATACCCGGCCCAAGCCTGCACTTTCCCTGTAGGCTCCCTCTGTTGTTCAAACCTTACCTCAAGTGTCAGACCTTCTCCAAGTTCTACTCTGACCATCTCAACCTCCCCCTTATGACCTGGGTGACATTTTCACAATTTGTAATTATATTATTTGTTTAATTGTTTATCCCCTCTGCAGCCTAGGGACTTAGTCTCTGTTTTTTAACTCTTTATCCCTTGCCTTGCATAGTCTCTAACAAATAGTGTGTGCTCACTAAACATTTACGAAATAAGCAAATAACTGAATAATAACAATAGCTACTATGTGCAGAGCTCCTGGGATTGTCCTCCTTGCTTGTCCCCCTAATGGCTCCAGGATATAGGGGATGTTATTATCAATCCCATTTTATAGAAAGCTCCCAAAGTTGACATCTAGGAAGTGCAAAGTCTGCCTAACTGCAGAGGAAGGCAGGACTGTGCAGGAAGGATCCTCTTCTCTACTCCAAGCCCTCCAGCTTGTGCTGTTCGAGCCCTGGCTGAGTTCATGAAATGCAGCCCTGTGAGGTTATAATCGAATTCTGCGGAGTCAGAAAGAGCTTGCCATCCCTGATGGCACCCCGCCCTACACTGCCTGCCCCTGTGTTCTGATCGCTCTAGGGGCCCACTCCCTGGTGCTGTGCTAGTGCTGGCCTAGATCTGACCTTCCATCCCGGAAGTTCCTCCAGCAGCCAGAGCTTCCTGAGGCCAGCCTGTGCACGCATGGTGCCAGGCCCAAATGCAAAGGGCCTCCCCGCAGGAGTTGATTGTTTAGTTGGAGGCATTTAAATGACATATTGCTGTGCCAGAGCTGTTGCATCTAATGGGGCTAAATGGCCTTTGATGAGACCCTGCTCACGTGCCAGGCAGTGGTGGGTTGTGTGGGGCACATGGCTGCCTGCTGAGCCTGTTTTGAAGGGACTTGAATTGTTGCATGGGTTCTGTTGGTGAGTCCATTCAACCCAGGTAGCCTTGGCCTTGAGACCACAGGAGTGTGCCCCGAGGGACAGGGGATCTGTGAGCCGAGGGAGGGTCCTGGTTCCCCAGAACATCAGCTGGAAGCCTGGGTACTCTGGGTTCTTCCAAGCTCCCCAGTCATGGTCCCATGCTGCTGGCCTGGGGTGACCTCACCATCTCTGGCCTGAGCTCTCTCTACAGGCTTCTATTGTGCAGGGAGCCCCTGCCTGCCTCCCTGCCCCCAACCTGTGGCCCTGGCTCCCTAGCTGGCCCCTAACTGCTCTTCTGCTGCCCTGGTGCCTCCACGTCCCTTGGGATCTGTGTGCATTTGTGGCTTTGAGAGGACGGATGCACCCTTCCTCGCTGCAGCCTCACCCTCTGGAGCCTGGGGACAGGCTTGGGCCCTGGAGCCCCTTGATCTGAGCCAGCCGGGAAATCGCCCTGACCATCCTTTCTCTGTTTTCCCTGACGTCAGAAGGCAGAGTGCTTATTCACTTTGGAGGCACACTCGCAGGAGCAGAAGAAGAGAGTGTGCTGGTGCCTGGCGGAGAACATCGCGAAGCAGCAGCAGCTGGGGGCCTCACCTCCCGAGAGGAAGGTAAGGGCCTCGCCAGTGGCTGTGGGCTGTCGCCCTTGCCACCTTGCTTGTGCCTTGCATCCTGACCTCTGAGCCTCCCCACAGAGCTAGGAGTCAGCTGAAGCTCAGCCCATGGAACTGTTCAGAGAACTCTTGGCAAGGGGCCTGTGCCCCAAGGTTCTCCCCCTGGGCTTTTTCCTTGGGTTTGTTGAGTGGGTTTGAGATTGCTTGGGTAGAGCGACAGAGCCAAATTGACCATGGCCACTTCTCGGCTCTGCTCTTTGGTTTGCCTGTGGCCAGGTTTGATGCGGGCTGGCCTCCCAGCTGCTGCCTGGCAAGCGGCCCCCTCCTGTCATTAGGGAGGCCGTGCCCAGGGCCTGCACACTGGTGTTTAACACCAGTCCGAGGCACACGTAATTGAGGGGATGTTTGTAGCAGAATCTGTCATAGTTCAATGTAGGTCAGAACCAAGTGGGGCCAAATTTGGACTGCTGGGTGCTGGGACTGTCCAGCTGGAGTGTCAGGGAAGATCAGAGGCTACGGGGGGAGAGGCTGATGTGGGCTGGGCACTGCTCAGTGCCTGGGGAGGGTACTGGGTGGGAGTGGATCCTTGACACTGATGACTGCCATGTAGCCCTTGCACACTCCCATCTGGGAGAGTTCCGGCGCCCTTTGCTGCTGAAAGCATGGACTGTTGGTGGGCTTGGGGTAGCTGTTGCAGAAATTGCCGAGGTGGTTGCTCTGCTAGATCTAGGGGAAGGCAGGAAGGAGAGGGAGTTGCAGCCTGAGACCTCGCTGTCCTCACTGCTTCTCAGTGTATCAGGTTCACTGTGCCACATGCCCTGGGCTTTGGAGGGGGCAGTGAGTGGGAGGCGGGAACAAGTGGCTGCCAGTCTCTCCTGCAGCTCCCCAGCAAGTTGAGAAAGGGGCAACACTGAGGATTGCGGCATCCCCGACTTTGAAGGTTACCCTGTTTTGCACTGGTCAGAGGCAAGGCTAGAGGAAGACAGTGGGACCCCTAGGTCAAACTTTGCTGCTGACTGGCAGTATGACCTTAGGAAAGTCACTCTACTGTTCTGCTTTTTCTAACTGGGGGCCATGAGTTCCTCCCCCGCAAAAGTTGTAAGAAGTAAAGGAGAAGATGTACGTATAGCTCACCACACAGCGCCTGACCCCTCGCCACCAGCCAGGGGCACTGGCTGGCTCCACTGTCGGGCTTCTCTTCTGCACAGATGCCTGTCACCATGGCCACAGGCTGCCTTGCCCCGTTGATCTGGAGTTGGCCACTGTCAAGAGTCCAGGCCACCCTCCCTTCACTGGGGCAGCTCCTAGACAGCAAATATCTGGACAAGTGCCGGCTCCTACCTCCTCACCCACTTTCTTTCCTTCTGGGTTAGTTCTGTTCTGGAGAGAGTTCTTTGTGCCTGTGCTTCAGAGTTTGCTGGCTCTGGAGGTGTTGGCCACAGTGCTGCACTGCCTCGGAGACTCTTCATCTGAGGGGCATCAGGCTGTGCTTGCCCAGGGGCAGGCAGGTCTGATGTAGGCTCTGGGCCCTGCTGCAGGGCTTTGGATGTGCCTGGCTGGCCCTCAAAAGGCTCTAGGGTTGGGTGCCTGGTTTCAGGGCCACACCAAGTTACGTGGGCATCCCAGGCAGGCAACAGTTGGGACATCTTGTCACACAAACTCTTTAAATTTGAGGTTAGTGGAGAGATTGTGTGCTGGGCAGGGAAAGCAAAGTGGGACCTAACTGCTACAAGAGCCTCAGAACGACCTCCCGGGCCTGAGACCTGGGGGCCCAGACTTGCCTGCCCTTGGCTCACCCTTTTTATATGGCAGTTATGGAACTGAGTATCTTACTGCTCAGTCTTTCTCCTTCCCACTGCCTCCATGGTCACATAGAGTGTTAGCAGTTTATTCTTCCCAGTTGCTCATGGAATGCTTCTTGAGAGAAGTTTCAGTAGATGTTACCCTCCAGCTGTATGAGTCCAACAGTACTGAGTGACTTCAATAAGGAGGTCCAGGTGGCCGTCCAGCCTGCCCACCCTTTCACCTGCCTTTTTTTTTTTGCTCCGAATGCCTTCAAGGCATGACTGGCTGTCTTGTGTTGTGGGGATCGAACCACAGCAACCTGAGCCTGACTGCTTTGTTGAAGCAGCCACTTAAAGAACTGAGCGAAGGGGCAGGCCCCCTTTCACCTGCCTTTGCTCAGCTTCAGGGTGACCATGGTTCTTATTCATCCACTGAGGTTCAGTCTCAGGGAGACCAGACACCTTCTCTGTCCTCCAAAGGCCAAGAAGAAGACCACACAGAACTTGGAGAGCTTCTGCTTTTTAGGTATAGAGGTCCTGCTTGATAAATGCCTTAAGCACTGGCTGAGCCCTGAGCCCCTCTTTCCTTCCTGTGTCCCTTGGGGAATGCTCCACCTTGTTTAGGACAGGGAGCCTGTTGCCTAAGCATCTGCCCTACTCAAAAAACTTCCAAGGAAAGGATAATTTTGTTAAACACAAACTCCTCACTTCCCTGTCCCGGCTCCAGCCTATATTCCTTACAACAGCGTCGCTAATCCTGGAGATCGGGGATTCTATGCCATCTTGAAAATGGGAAAACTCTTCCCCAATTTACAAACTATATGAATGCCTTCTTCCCAGAATGACAAAGATGGTTGTTGGGAAGGATGGAGGGAATAGAGAAAGATGGGCTCAAAGAACACCAGAGGGGGGCCCTGGTGCACCATCTGTTATGTGATCTTTGGCAACCACTTCCTGCCATAGCTTCAGCTGGTCCCATTAGCACGCGGGTCAAGTAGCTGTTTCTGACTTTTCAAGCTAAGGGATTATGAAAGCTGAGAGCCTGGGGCCATCTGGTCTCCATCAGGGAAGCATACCCTGGTGAGTTCTGCATAACTTAACTTTAGTGACATGTGCTGCCTTTGGGATGAGGTAGGGGTTAGGGCAGGCATAGGCTTTCTGCGTTGTGTCCGCCAATGGCTTGTGGTTTGGTGGTGTGGCCACAGAGACATATGAAGCAAGTGTAGCCACTCGGCAGGCCTTGCTGCAGGCTCTGTTGCTTTTCTACAGTTCATTCTTCATGAGCACTATAGGTAGGGGTGGCTTTTCTTTAGAAATAAATGGCTGGCTGCCTGTCCCTGGAGGGCATCCACTTTGCATTTTCAGCCTAGATAACTCCTACCCTTGCTCCCTGTACTACGCTCCCAGCACTTCTGGGAAGCTTCTCATTGAGATCAACTCAGAGTTGGTCCCTCTGTGGCCAATGAGGTTCCAAACTGGGAGAGAGAGGCAGGTGATAATTATTTTGGTTATCTGATCAAATATACACAGAAAGTGCATTCTATGTGCCTCAAACTGGTTTAGGTCTTTTGGGGTCATATGGATGAATGACACTTGGTCCCTGTCCTTACCGAATTCTACTAATGGGGTGAGATGATAAAGGCATCAGGGTGATGATCCAAGCGTTAAAGGCCATGCCTGCCCGTGTAAGGCCTGGTGTGGAGTCCTGGGTGTCATTCGTGATCCACACAGTGAGCCTCCTGCCATGTAACCCATCTACACAGGCTGGGCTCAGGAAGCCTTCTGAGCCCCTAGCCCTCAGGGGTGGGAATGGGTGCAGTGCAGCAGGGCAGACCCCATCCTCTGGGTGGGCTCAGGTCTCCTCAGGTGAGTGGTAGGAATGTGTAGAGGAATCTGTTACACTGTGCTCGGGAGATCACAGGGTGGTGGTCGAGACAAGTACGACAACAGTTGGTTCTAAATGACACAATGGTGGTATGTCCTCAGGAGAGCCACCTGGCCTGTCTGAGACTTAAGCGCTTCATCAGTGAAGTGGATGGATCAAGAGGGCTCTTGTGAGGATTGTGCTTGTAATGTGCTGGGCAGAGTGGTGCCCGAGAAGACCTCTGGGAGCCAGCTGCCGCTCTCATTCTGTCACTGCATTGTAAGTGATGTCTGTAGAGGAAGAGTCATCTGGTGTCCCTGTTTATGGAAGTTGATGCTGGTGCTCTGGGCACGTGTGATGACTGCTCCATGCCACTTCCTGACAGCTACCTGCTGGATTCTAGGGCCCATGCAGGGAAACCGAGGCCTCCTGGGTCTGCCCTGGCTGTGAGACTTCCTCTAGATGTGATGCTGAGGTGTGTGGCACTTTGCCATCTCCTCTGACAGCTAGAGATAGGCCTCAGGGATACCAGGTACCGAGTGCCTTAAAAAGGAGCAGGCAGGTCTTGGAGTCAGGCAGCCTCTGCCTGAGTAGACAGCAAGCTAATTCCAGTTCTGTCTGGTTCCACAGAAACTCCACCCTTACGGCTCTCTCCAGCAGGAGATGGGGCCGGCCAACTCCACCAATGCTACCCAGGATAGAAGCTTTACCTCATCAGGACAGACTCTGATTGGCTGAATAAGCCCAAGGGCGGGACTCTGCTTCTGGCAACTTAACCCTTTCTGGGGCATCCCCTACCACACAGTAACCTCACTTCAACTGGAGCCAAAACGGAGGACCAAGATGGTGGGCTTAGGGTCATCTTCAGGGAGTGGTCCTGAGAGTGTGTGTGGACCGGCAACAGGAGAAGTGGTGGTGTGAGAAGCCGTGTGGGCATGGGCAGACTGGCAACAGGAAGTTCCTGATGCAGAAGATTCAGAAGCTTGTTCCCTTCAAGGAGAAAGAATCTAAAAGGCATCTGGGCACTCACCTTGGGGGCAGCAGGACATTGGGAGAGGTCACCTTGATGGAGAACGATGTCGTGACCTGTGTTGCCCGAAGACATCTCCACCCATTCACTCATTCTTCATCTGGACACATTCATTTGTTCATTCAGTGGATTCTGAGGGCGTCCTCTTGGTGGCAGGCTTTGTGCGAGGGTCTTGGGGATACTTTGGAGAACCAGATGGGCATGGCTTCTGCTCTCATCAAGATTCCAGTCCTAGTAGGGAATGAGCATTAAATAAATCAACACCAGCACACACGTGACCACACCCTGGGAGAGGTTTGCAGGAACAGAGCAAATGCCTTTCGAGGACATTGCATCTAGGTTGCTCCATGTAGGGGTGCAGCTAGGGAAGGACACAGCTGAGACCTGTAGGGAACAAGCCAACCGAGGACTTGGGAGAGAGCTGGCAGGTAGATGGAACAGCATGCATGAGCTCCTGGGATGGAAGGGAGCTTGGCACGCTGCAGGAGCCAGCAGAGGCCCATGTGACCACCACCCAGGGAGGAAGGAGGAAGGAAGGAAGGCCAGGTGTGTAGGACTCAGGCAGTGAGTGCTTTATTAATTTCATCATAGATGAAGTGGGGAGCCATGAATGGCCTTTGAGAGAGTGCCATGTGCTCAGGAACAGTTCTACAAGATACAAGAGCAGACAGTGGGGCATCAAGCAGGCAGGGGACCACTATGAGTCCCTCAGCCCATCACCTACAGGGTGACGGTGCCTTGTTCTAGAGGATGGTTGGGCTGTTGGGTCAGACTCTGGGATGAGAAAAGACGACTCTCTCCCTTGCTCCTCCACCTGCCCTCATGCTCTACCTGGTGACTGTAGTGAGATTTGGGACCTTTCTCATGGACCTGCTTCTGGGCAGGCCTGAGCTAGGGACCAATGTTGTATCCCTGGATGTGGAGCGCCAAATACCCCGCCTAGTCCCTGGGCCTTGCATGAGCTGTCTGTAATGCCTCTTACTGTGTTGGGCTGTCCAATGGGGAGCTGGAACTCAGTGCTCTGACAATGGACTTGGTTTTTCTGTGGGGCTCCTAAGAGTCAGGGAGCAGGACTGGGTATGGCTCAGCAACTCTTGTGGAGAGCCTCCTGTTTCGAGGTGACAGGATGACCTACCAGGGCCTGGGCCTGAGAGCCTTGCCCACTTGCTGCCTGCTGCAACCCTGGCTAAAACTCAGGGTCAGGAAGTTCTTATACCTTTTCTGACTAGTAAGACCTAGGCAGAGGGAAGCCCACAGCTACAAAGCTGAGAGACATAGTTTATGTGCAAGAGGGGCCTACATGATGGGGTTGTTTGCATAGGGAAAGAGCTTAGAGAGGCTGGAAAGATGGCTCAGGCCAGAGATGCCCCTGGCCATGGACTAGCTCTGTGTTCTATAAGACCTCAGTGTCTCTAGAAAGGGTTTTTGTGCCCTGTGAGTTTTCTCAGCTGCTGTGGCCAGCTGAACACCTGAAACAGTGCCCTGGAAAAGAATATGTTTCGTATCTTCCATGTAGGAAAAATCAGGCACATTGGTACAGCTGTCTGGTAGGGAATGGGATGGCTCCGCTGGTGATCAGGCTAATGCCCCTGTCCAGCAGGGAGACAGATGCTGCCTGGATAAGGACAAGTGATTCACAGCATCTCTAGCCACCAGGGCTTGGCCCACAGGGTGAATCTGAGCAGCTGAGCAGCTGGGTCTGCAGAGACAGCAAGCTGCACTTTGATTTCATTTGGTTCTCTTACAAAATGACATTAAGGGGAATGCGAGATGCAGGAGCATTCCATGTCTGGCAAGGCGGCAAGCTTGTCTGTCCTGGGCCTGGTGACCTGCTTCTGTCCAGCAGACAGGTTTAGAGCACAGACACTGTGACCCCAGAGAGAAGGAAAACTGGAATGCAGCAGCCAGCCCCGGGGATGGCACTCTCCTCCCAGTTTGTCCTGACAGTCTGCTCAGTGAACCATGCCTTGTGATCAAGGTCCCAGATCTGCCAGTCGGTGGAGAGGTGGACATGCGCTCCCGCCGGGCCTGGGGCTGGTCTGCCCAGCAACTGTGGCGAGCCGCACTGCCGCTGCTGCTCTGCCTTGTGAATCAATGCAACTTTTAATTTGGCTCCACTGACTTGTGAAGATGAGATATGACCTGGTGGCCACTGCTCTGCAGCATCCTGGGCCATCCCAGCTGTTCAAGATGATGAACAGGCTATCGCAATTGCATCTGAGAGTCATAATCACGGGAAACATGATCAGGCCCCGCCCCACCACATAAATCACTCTAAGAAGCACACAATGGCCTCTTTCCTGATGGGCCAATTGTCTTGGTTTGGTGTCTCAGGGCCTGGGAGCTGGGAGGATGGGAGAACAACTATGTATTGTCAAAAAGGCCATCTGTGCAACTTGAATACAAAGTGGCCCTTTTAGTTTCCCACACACCCTCTGATCCTGTTTTCATGCGTTCTTATATCTCAGGCTCTGGGTCTCTTGAAACACTCGTCTCTTCTCTGCGCTGTTATTCCTGGGTCTTTTGGCCCTTTGGCAGTGGGGACAACACAGACTTTTTGGAAATAATGACACTGATTGGTGTATTTTTTTTTTCTTATTCTTTATTTTATTTTTTTCCTCCTGAATTCTGCCACCAAAGCCCTAATTGATCACACGTGCTACCAAAGCATCAAGCAGGTTCTGTAAAGGGGAGGGCTAGCAGTTTTGCAACATCGGAGCCTTCCCTGCAGTGAGAACCCCACAGCGTATATTTTGGAGATGGCAGCCAGGGTCTGCAGGTGTCATTTCCCCTAAGCCTTCTGGTAGCCTCACTTAGGACAAAGGTGACCAGGCTCTGAGAAGTAAATGACTTATTTTAGGTCATATAGCTTGTAAGTGGCTAAGTTATTCCTTAAGCACAGATCTTTCAGCCTAAGTCATTGCTCTTTCTATTTGTAAAGCTTTGCTTTTAGAAGTAGAAATAAGGGAAGTCATTCATTTCATCCAGAAGAGGCAGGAGGCAGGTACTAACAGGTACCAATGAGTACCGGAAGTGGTGGCCTTCCTAGCTATAGAGGAAATACTTTCTGGACAAGTGAAATGAGATTGGTTTTCTCTACTTGGTGGAGAAGAACTTCTAGTTCTTTTAGTATTCAATTCCCTGTGGAGTGGCACCAGCTGGAAGGATCAGTTGCTCTCTGTGAGAGGTGAAAAGAAGTCTGATATGAAAGGCAAGACTGAGCTCCTACGATGGGCTCTCGGGCAGTGCTGGACCGGTCAGGTTATGCTCCTCCCCTTTGGAGTCTGGCATTCAAGAAGAACAGATGATGCAGAAATGTTATTAGAGGCAGAAAGGGATAGCTTCAGGCTCAGTCCTGTCTGTCTTGGTATCAGTGCCGATGGAGGCTCTGACCTGAGCCCAGCTGACTCTGCCACTGCTGGCTCCTTCTGCAGGGTTTTGTGCCCAGATTTGGTTAATTGGCTGACTTAAGATTTCAACTCTCACTACCCAAGAATCAAATGGATTTCATTTCAGCACTCCCTGCAAAGGAGTGATCTCCTTTCTCCAATCGGTGCAACTGTTTTCCAGGCAGCTCAGCTTGCCTGCCTGCTTGCCTTCTCTCTCGCTGCTGGTCTGGCTGTAGACAGACCTCCTTCTTCGTTGTCTTGCTCTTCTTTTTCCTCAAAAAGAATGGAGGACAGCTCTACCCACTCCTGTCTTGTTCTTCTTTCTCCCCATGCCTTTCTCTGGAGAGAGCTGTTGGCCATCCTCCCAACTGCTCCCAGGTCTTTGGTTTAGGGCAGAGTGATGGCACTAGGTAACTGAATGAGCACTCCTACCATGAGCCAGGCCTGGAGCAAAGCTTTTGGTATACATTGTGTCTTCTTATGCTCACTACAGGGTTCATTGCCCTGTTACACATTTACTCCCATTGAACCCACTTTGCCAAGGAAGATGTTGAGTCTTAGAGAAGTGAAGAAATTTGCCCAAGGTCACAAAGCTGATGGCTGATGAGGATCGCAGCCCAGGACAATGTGGTTCTGACTCTTCTCTTCGACTGCTGGGAGGGACTGGAGAGGCTGGGCAGTCACACTACCACCTGAAGCGCATCTAAGGAGGTGCGATCTTCCATAGAAAGGAGGTGTGATCTCCACTGGGCTTGTGGCCACACAGGACAATTTCACCTTCTCCAAAGTCCCTGTGTCCATTTGCATGGAGACTGCTCCTTCCACCTGGTGCTGCTCAAACATTTCTGCTGTCTTCAAACTTGGAGGCTCAACACCGTCCTTAGGCATACCTTGGAAGCCATGGCCTCCTCCCCTTGTGCTTTCCCAGAAGTCTTTACTTATCCTTAGCATGGTGTATTGGGCAGCTATACAAGGGGTGATGAAAACATACAGTGAACAGGGGTCTCAAAGAAAAGTCCTAGCATATGCTGGGTTATCTGCCAAAGCTAAAACTTGCGTCTAGAAGGAAAGATAACAAGCTAGAAAGTCCAAGTTTGGGTAGGGAGGAGGAGGAGGCCCCAGGAAAGGAGGACAGGCTTCAGAGAGGGAAGGTGTGGAAACAGCAGATCTCTTGTGAGTTACCAGGGTTCTAGACCAAAAACTCCTGTCCCTAAACTATATGTGTGCTTGATGTCAAAAGCCTTATTTGTGCATCATTTAAAGTGTGATCAAAGTATCACTGAACATGTAAGTTAAAATGTATTACAGTAAAAGACTCATTGCTGTTAATCTCCCTCTAAACGCTCCCCTTTGCTTCCAACGCCCTTAGCCTATTATTCTTGTCACTTTCAAAAGCTGTTTTGGAAGTCTGTGCGTGTCTTCATGAGGTCTGATAAAAAGTAGAGTGAGTGCTACTGCCAGGTGCCACCCAACAGAGAGACAGGTCTCTAAAAACACTACAGTATGTTCTCATGCACCTCCCTCAGCGGATCTGGTACTATGTGACCTCTGGTTTTCCCTGAAGTCAATCCAACTATGAAAGGTAAACATTTCGATCCAATTCAGAAGAGCACTGAGGCAGCCACAGCAGTGCAACTAAAGATACTCCTGAAAGAAGACTTCCAGAATGGCTTCAGACTAAAACAAGAACGGGGGGCTAAGTGTGTTCAGAGTGATGGGAGTGATGGCAAAGTGTCTTCTACTGAAATAATTTTTTTAAAAAATGTGAGCATTCACTGGACTTTTTGAGCATACCTCACCCACTGCTACAAAATTTCGAGATGCCCTGGAGCAGGCAGAGAGCACGTTTGACTTGTTTTTCATCCTGTTGTTGCCTAGTGCATAGTAGGTGCTCAGTAGATATTGGAGAATTGAGCCGGCCTGTGCAGTGCAATCCTCCTACGTTTAGAACATAGATGAGGAAGCAGGATCTAAAAAGAGAACTGACCTGGCCAAGTCAACATCAGAGGAGGGAGTAGAACGCAGGTCAGCTGACTCTCTTGGCGGAGAGTTTTTGTTTGCATCTGCCGCCACAGGCCTGCATCTCCACTGGCCCGTAAAGCAATGTGGCCAAGTTCGTATCAGGGTCATGGGGAGTGTCATATGCTTAAGCTGAGAGGGGACCTCCCCTGAGAAAAGGATGCCTCCTAAGAACTATCACTGTGATTCTTTTCTCTGGGTTTTGGGCCTTCCCCACACTGAGCATTTTGCCTCAAAAAAGTCAGAACAGGATTCTCAAGCAAGAGCAGTCAAAAGACAGCTGGGACTGTGTGACCTCCGACAAATAACTCCACATGTCTGGCCATCGCTTCCTTACCAAGAAAAATGAAGGAGCTGAGTGCCAGGTGGTCTCTAGGAATCACCAGGTCTCAAACTATTAGGATAAAATAATAAGGACCAGAATAGAGAAAAGTGGATGCCCTGATCTAGTGCAAGAATTGGTTTATTTCTTTCTTTCTTTCTTTCTTTTCTTTCTTTCTTTCTTTCTTTCTTTCTTTCTTTCTTTCTTTCTTTCTTTTTTTCTTTCTTCTTTTTTAAATCAGAGTCTCTGTCTCTAGACAAGGGCTCAGTCTTTTGAAACAGTTCTGTGTAGGATTTCAGAGGGGAGAATGGACAGGTCTTAAAGCTGCAAGATAAAGCTTTAACAGGCTAAAGGGAGGGAGAAAACATATTTTTGTCTTCACATTGAAGCAGGAGTGTGTATATGTGGGTATATGTAAGTATTGTATCTGGCTAATATTCTTCATATGCTTGTAATATGTAGGTAAGTGTAGAGAGCTCATGCCAGGAGGGATAGACGTCACAGACAGCCCAAATTATAAACACACCCCTGCTTCCTCCTCACCCAAGGTGCCTCTTTTGGCTCTTCTGGGGGAGGCCAGTGCAAGGAACTGAGCAACCTAGAACCTTCTCTGTCCCTCCTCCCTGTTTTTTGCTCAGGTGGTTGGGTACGTATGGGATTCTTGTTTGAACTTTGCATATGCTCTCTGAACTTCCCAACTACTAGTTTATTTTTACAAGTTAATTTTATTTACAAGCTAATTTTCAAGTAGAACATGTGCTAATTTTTCATTTCTAGTGTGGTCAGAAGTCTCCTTCAGACCCTCCACCAGAAGTTGCCATTGAATTTTTCACTGCCTTTGACACCTATCTCTCCTACTATTCAGACAACATTACTGTAGATAAATTTTCTAAAAAGGTATCTTTTAGGCATTAGTGGTTTTCCATTTCTGCTTAATTCTATTATTGGAATGTAGTTTTCTAGCCTTTCTCCTTGGTGGAAGAACATTGATGGTTTATCGGACTCACCTAGGAAGTAACTGTCTGTAACACAATTGTAGTGGGGAATGTGTTCCGAGCCCTGTAGTCAACTCTCAGAAGACTTAGAGAATAAAACCCATCACATATCTAAGAGCAGAGATAGCATGGTATTTATGTGGAGTAACTAGAAATTTGGTAGAACCATGGAATCTTTGAATGAGAACTGAAAAGCTCCCCACAAAGACATGAAGACCAGAGAGCTGCAAAATCTTAGCCAAGGGCACAGAGCAGGGGACCAAAGATTCTGCCAGCTTTGGGGCGTGGAAGGGACACAGGATGGCCTTAGAAGGTTCTCCTCTTCTCACTCAGCCACTGACTCTGCTACAGCGTAAGCCTCCACTTTGGGCTGTAATAGAAATAGAAACCAGTCCAGTGAGCAGTGTGGGGAGCTGTCTAGCCAGCTATCTTGTCTAGAAATTCCTGGCGTGCTCTTGTTGGAGTGGAATGAATGGACTGCTGTGTGTTACCTGCAGCTTGGAGTGCAGTGGGGCTTGGGGAGAGGCTCCCTGTAGTCTGTTCTAAAAATAGCAGTGGGACAGAGCTGAGGGGAAGAGGAGGGGGCTCCTGGGGGAGCAGGGTGGGGATGCCTCCCCCCTTCCTCTTCCTGCCAGGTTCTATGTGAAGAAGTCCCACAGATTTACAGAGTCCAGATCTGGTAAGGTCTTGAAGGCCTCACCCGCCTCCTCACACCGACTAGGAGACACGGAGGAGGAAAGGACAGGCCAGCAGTTGCTGAGCTGGAGCTGGTCCCACAGGGTGGCCATTCTCCTGCTGTTTCAGAGGGCGGCCTCACGCCTCTCGTAGACTTTTGTCATTGTCTCTGGGTGCATAGTGCCTGGGAACTCCTGGGACCGGATGTGTTTGGGCTTCCTGAGAGTCGCCTGGCAGGCGAGGAGTCCCCTGGCTAGTTCACCCTGTGCTCTGACCTCGGCCAGCTGGCCTTCAGCGCCAGGCCTTCCGCTTGCTGATGTCCCTGCTTGCTGGTTTGTCCTCCTGTCGCCTCCTGCACCATCTACAGGAAGCCAGGGTGGGGGCCAGAACAGAGCTGGCCTTCAAGAGAGAGGGCCTAAGGCTCAGGCCCAGTCCTTGCCTTTCCCAGGAATAGGTGGAGGCAGCTAAGGGGCCAGGGGTCCCACTACTAGCTCTGCCACCCAGCAGCTTAGAGGTTGCTATAAAGTGAGGCAGGGACACCCACCATCACACATTGTCTCGTGATGTTCAGAAGGGAAGGTAGTGCCAAGCGTCTCTTACACTGCCTGCCAGGGAGTACGTCCTCAGAGATAGAAGCGACCACCGTGGCTTCAAGGCGTAAACACACGTCTGACTCTATGTCCCCCTTCCTTGGAGCTTCTTTCCATCAGAGCCTGGGAGGGTTAGTGCTGCTATTTTTAAAATGAAATTGACTCTTTTTTTGTTGCATTGCAAAAGTAATTCATGTAATAATATTTATTATGAAGAAAACATTTAATACATAATAAACCAGGAGAAAGAAATTAGGTTTATCCCTAATTCCAGAATCCAGAAATAACATTTTGGGGTGAATCTTATCAGGTTGTTTATACACACATATATCTTATTTGTAAAATGAGGTTGCTAGAATAGTTTTCTAACCTGCTTTTTTTCCTTTTAGCAATACACTGTATCCATGTTTCTCTGTTAATAAATATTTTTCCATGACATCATACATAGTGCTTCAGAGTATTTCATTATATAGGTGAAACATATTTTATTTAAATCATCTCCAGTAGTTCAACATGCAGGTTGTTTTCATTTTTTTTTCCACAAATACCTGGGGTGGGGGGAGTCCTTGCAGGCATATCTTGGTATTCCCGGTACCCAGTTCTACGCCTGGTATATGCTTTATGTTCAATGAATATTCATTGATTGAATGAACAGTTTGTTGAAATAAATTCCTAGTAGTAGAATTTCTGGGTCAAACGGTATATATTTGTAAAATGGATTCTGGACCTATTACCGAATCATTCTTCAGAGTGAGCGTACTCTTTCTAGGGCCAGGGAGATAGCTCAGTGGCATAAGCACCTGCCTGGCAAGCATAAGGTCCTGAGTTCTATCCCTGGTACCACACACAACACACACACACACACACACACACACACACACACACACACACACACACACACAAAGAATGACTGTATTCTTTGTAATCCGGGCTTGCACAGAGCAGCTCATTTTGCTTTGCCTGAGTCAGAGTTTCCCTTTTTAGCACTGCAAGTCCTGCTTCCTGGGAAATGGAGAGGCCTTAGGAAGAGGATGCCTGTTTCCCTGCACCCTCCCCAGCACTGTGTATTGTTGCTTTTTTAAATAAATTCTCTTTTTTGATTGCCAGAGATGTTGAACATTTGTTTATGTGCTTGTCAGTTCCTTGGTTGCCTCCTTGACAGGAGCCCCACCAAGTCTGTTGCCCGTTTTCTTTCTTTCTTTCTTTCTTTCTTTCTTTCTTTCTTTCTTTCTTTCTTTCTTTCTTTCTTTCTTTTTCTTTCTTTTTTAGAACCAGACGTTGAACTCAGACCCTTGTGCCTGCCAGGGAAGTGCTTATTCTATTGAGCCACCTCCCCGGCCCTTGTTGCCCATTTTCTTAGGAGGCTGTTTAATAGTTTCATTATTCACTCAGAAAAGATCTTTATATGGTAAGGATGTTTTTAGGCTAGGCTTTTATTTTTATTACTTCTCTAAATGATGAGTGATTCTGATTTATAGGTAGTGGTATCTATAAATTGTTTTGGGGACAGTTTTATTGAGCTATAATTCAAATGTCATACAATGCATCCGTTTAAGGTATATAATTCAATGATTTTTAGCATACTCAAATTTGTACAACAAGTACCACAATTAATATTAGAACAGTTCATTATCTTGAAGAAATTGTAGCCTTCAGCTATGACTCACTAATTCTGTCTCTTCCATTCGTAAGCAACAACCACTCCCCCTTATTTTTCCATAGATTTGCCTATATTGGACACTTGATATAAATGAAATCATATATTTAGTTTTTTGTGGCATGTAATGTTTTCAGATTCATCCATGTTACAGATGTTTCAATTTCTTTGCATGGCTGAATAATATTTCATTTTGTAGATGTACCATGTATTGTTTAACCATTCATCAACTGATGAAAACTTGGGTCATTTCCACCTTTTGGCTATTATGAATAATACTTCCATAAATATTTGTGTTCAAGTTTTTGTGTGAATGCATGTTTTAATTTCTAGGTCAAATGTTATCTGTGTTAAACTTTTGAGAAACTTGACTTTCCTAAGTGACTGTATAAGGGATGGTGAGATAGCTTAGTGGGCTAAGCATCTGCTTAGGTAAGCACAGAGACCGGGGTTCAATTCTGGGCACTGCATGCCATGCCAGCCCCACCCCCGGGTGTGCTGAGTTGGCCCCCGAGTCCAGGCATGGTGGCATGTGCCTGTAACCCCAGTGCTGGGGAGGCTGAAAACAGGAGAATCACTAGGAGTCCGAGCTGCATGTGAGACCCTGCACAAAATGCATTAAACACACACACACACACACACACACAGACACACACACACACACTTACACACAACAACAGCAACAAAAAACAACACGACTATATAGTTTTACTTCCCACCATCAGTGAATTAGGATTCCAAGCTGTATATCCTTGCTAATAATTATTATTTTTCCATTTTAAAAAATCATAGGCATCTTAGTGGGTGTGATTCGAAATTCTCTTTTCTGGATGATTAATATCATATCTATAAATTTAAACAAAATTTTTTTGCTTTGGTGCTGTGATATTCACCTCAGGACTTTATAATGCTTTTTCCCTTTAAAATTTATGGTTTTATTATTCAACCTGTAACATTTTAAACTATGTGGAATTTACTTTGGCTTATAGTGTGAGACAGAATATTTTTCATTTTTCTCATTTATTTGCCCCAGTACTTGTCCATTGTCTCGGGGCAAGTACTCATTATTATTCTTTTAAAATTGTTTTCCCTTGTATTCTTACGTATTAATTCTTTTAAATAAAATTCCCTGTATTTTTTTTTTTTTCTTTTCCTGGTGCTAAGGTTTAATCCCAGAGCCTCCTACTTGATAGGTAAATATTTTATCGCTGAGCTACATCCTGGTACACAT